CCCCCCCCCCCCCAATATTGCTTTGTTACTAATCAAGTAATAAATTGTTTATTTGTAGAGGCTCACCGCAGAAGCTCCATGTAACCAACTTGCTGTGGCATGCATGCAGGCAGGCATGAATTACATTTTTGTTGTTAAAACTGTCAGCATGGACTTGTCTTCATAATGGTGCTTTTAATTAGTCTTGTATTGTTTGTATCAAACACATTTCCTTGAGATGAAAAGGGGTCAATGTTTCAAACATGGTGGGATATATGAAAATGAAATTCATAGCACCACTGAATCCAATGAGAAAAGCTGTGACACAGACTGAAGTTTCAAATGTACCCAAAAAGTGTAAAATATCTTAGATCCACCCTTTACCTTGAAACATGTTATTGAAGGTTAATACATTTATTTAGGTAATTATTTTTTCTCTACATTAATCTATACCAGGTAAATCTGTAAAAGCTAAATATAGTTTCTCCTGCTTGTGGTTGGTTAAGATGACAACAACCTACCTCTTTTTGCTCGTCTCTCTGATACATCCCTTATGAGCTGTACACAAACATGTCATAGACATAGAGCTTAAAAGTCCTGGGATTGTTTTGTTTTAACAATAGAAATCACTGTCACCACTTTACACATATTAGTACAGTATTGCACACCAGAAACCAACAATACAAGTACTGGATTATAATTTGATGCACACTCCCAGCATTTGTCAGCCATAAGCAGCGTTCTACACTCCTCTGCTGTCTTGTTCAGCCTGTCCACCAGTTGCCCACAGGTATTCAATAGAAAGGGTTAAGTGTTATTTGTAACTTTATTAAAAGAATTAGTGAGCAGTTGTTGTCCAGATGTTATGAGCTGTGTTGTTGATTTCTAACCTGCCTGTAATAAAGATTGCTTGCACTGCATCTTAGCTTTTGTTTAATAAACAGAATTATGAAGCAAATCAGTGTTTGACTCCAATCTGTACCTGAAGAGAAGCTACTTTACCACTATCTACACACTACACCGGTCATACTGTATATATTACATTACAATTTAAAAGTTTTTTCCACTGAAATGTTTGGCATTCTAGTTTTGGACTTTTGAACACCTACAAATTAAACACTTCAGGGTTCAGTGCATGTCCAAAAACCTTTTTCGCTGCTCCTCCTCATATTATCCTTATATATTAAACATTAATTAAAACATAAATTACTGGATCAGAGTGGTAATACACACTGCCTTTTAATGTTGCCACTTCCTTCCAACGTTTTGTTTAATAACAGTGAATCAGATGATGTAATTCACCTTGTTGGCCAGTGATTAACAGACTGCTTTACATTCTGTGACAATGAACACAACTGACTGCATAAAGTGGAAGACAGTTCTACAGTCAGATTACACCAAATCTAACTATTTTAAAGGCTTAATGCCTCAGCACTTGAATAGTTTTGCTAAGGATGAGGGAATAATTGCAGTTTTATTTTTTCCCAGAATTATGCAATGTGAAAAAAGAAAGTGTTTAGTTGTTACACGTTGAACTAAGTTGAATATTGCTAGTGAGTCTTTTATTCAGTGCAAAACAGAACATCAATGTTAAATGGGATGCTACAGGCGAGCACACAATTTAATATAAGAAAAAACATTTCTAATGTTTTCATAATGAATGCATGTTTTTGAGTTTACACTGAGAAGTTATTTAAAGAAAAAAAATAAAATTTTCCCTTTCATTAGTTCTTTCCAGGAAACTTCCTATGATCTGCCAAAACTGCAGTGCCCAGATGTGCATATATTCAAGTTGTAACTGACAGCAAAGATACCTCTTCTCAGTATTTACTACGAGGGTTGAATACTTAAAATAAAATAAAAAAGACTTATGTACACAGTTCACTGTTGAGCAAACTCAGGCATTACAGCATCTCCTACATTCTTTAACATCCACGTAAGTCTCAACCAAACCAGTTCAGTTGCTGATAAGAAATAGGAGCGACAGTCAGAATGGTGAGGCGTTAGCATCACGCTATCATAAAGGTACTCAGATGAAATGGCAAGGAATGAATGGAATATAAAAGTGCAGTACTTTTATTCATGTTTAATGAATTTATCCTGTTCAAGTATTCTTGAAAAAATACAGAAAATACATATTTATAAAACAACGTGACATTGGACCTAACTGTACAAGTACAGGTCTAGCAACTACTCCAGTGAGTTGTCAGAATTTGAAATTGCAGAACAAACGCACCCATTGAAATCAAAGGGAAATGTACAGATGGACTTTGAGCCTCTCATTTCCCAACTATTGTTTCTGGTAAATTATATACAGTAAGATTAGAGGAAATCCAAGAATGTTGTAAAATTCAACATTTCAAAAAGAGTAAATAATGTTGTTCTTGATGTCTTGGATGCTTCTTCTCATGAAAATGGGGCATTTCCATTCTGCTCTTCCTCCTTCTGTTCAACCCAATCTGCTGTAGCTAAAGCAGTGCTAGAGAGACTTTCACCTTTCACTTTAAAGAGGCTCATGTCAAACATGCCTGACTGAAACTTTAATGCAAAAAATCAGACACACTGTTAACAAACACTGGACACACCGGCCCTCAATAATCAATTCAGACACTCTGATTTTATGCACAACTACAATTTACAGGCAAGATGACTCCTGACTCCTTTAAAAAAAATATTGGGTGAGAGGAAACTCTTAATACAGAGCAGACGTCACCGGATGTGAGTTGCTTGTACCAGAGTGAGGTGCTTCATCTTGCATGAAGACTTGATTCTGTCTCAGACACAGTAGCGTTCAGAACCAGGAGGGAGGGATTTTCGTGGGAAACAGGGTAGCTTGTTTAGAGGAGACCTGTCCTCAGGCAGTGGCGAGTGTAGGAGCAGCGCTGGCCACAGGGAGAGCCGCTGTGTCGGAAGGGGTGACTTCCATCAGACAGTCTCCCTTGCTGGACGAGTTCACTCTGGCTGGGCCTACACAGTAATATTTAATGAGGTTTCATTTAGATTCTGAAAAAAAACAAAACAAAAAACAACTTCCATCCATCTATTTCTATGAAGTCTTCACAGGTTTTTAAATAAATGAGGCCGATGCCTAAAACACACACAGAAATGTGTGCCTTAACCCTGCAGCTGTATCCATACATTTATAAAGAGCTGGAGGAACTAGTTTAACCACAGATAATCTACACAGAATAAATTCACAGATGAATTGTTATTGTGTATTAAACAAATGAGATACCTCTACGCTGTACTGGTAAACAGCATTTTCAACTTTAAACAGAGCCAGGCTAACCATTTCCCCCTGCTCCCAGTGAAGTTGTGAGTTATTTATTCCGTGTTTTGGACGCATACAAAGTTGACTCCCAATGGAATGGGATTCATTTGAATAATTAGTCTAAGTAAGTCATGTGTACCAAAAATCATGATGATGAGAATTTTAAATTGAATTGAATTTAACATTATAAAGTTGGCAATTAATTTATTCCTCCTGTGCAACTCACCACTCTGTGTGGAGACAATGACGCAGTCTTCCTCGTCGTCATCCTCAGTGTCAGCTTGAAAACCGTCTGCCTCCATTGCTTCCGTCTGGCAAATACAGGAGTTTAAGACCATTTAGGTTAGTAATAGGCTTATATCAAAATGCAAAAAGCATATTTTCTTAACCTGATCATTTTCACAAAAGATACCAAAAAGGGCGCCTAAACTAAGTGAACAAAGAGCTACAATGTTGCGGTGAATTCTGCATGGTAATTTGAAAGTCTGTTTGAGTGGGTCTCTACCTGCTCGGGGTCAGTACATCTCTTCATGAACTTGGTGATTGACATACTGCCTGCGCTCTTCCTTTTGTTGGAGGATGAAGGCGTGGTGGAGGAGGTCTGGGGTGTAGTGGGAGAGTTTCCCTGAGAGCCCGTGGCTGCCTGGGGTTCTTCACGAGACTCTTCTCGAGCTCCTGTGGTGAGGTAGGTCCACTGGCAGGGCACAGGAAGAGCCTCCTGGCCAAAACGGGACAGGACCTCTGTGTGCACATACCAGCAGCAGCGTCTGTAGGTTGTGCGCTTCTCATAAACAGCATTGTTCTTCATGAGGCGCTTCACCTGTATTCTGATTACAAAGAAAAAGTCACTTTAATAAACATAAAACTAAAGGATTTATTTCAAAATAAGATGTATAGTGGCTTGTTTAAACTAATTATTTGAATGGTCAAAGGCATTTGTAGATAATACTACATTCACTTTATGTCCCTTTTTTATTGTATTTGTTCTTAATGTATAAAACATCACATTGTATATGGAGAGAATGACAAATTCTACCTTTGTAGGTGTTTTTCAATAAACAAGTTATTGTTAGGGGGTGAATTTCTTAGACAGTTTTAAATCATATTAACTTTTCAGCTCACGTTTACACAGAAATTGTTATCACCAAATACTGTTGTTTCACCTGGTGGGAATGTTTTCTGCTGGGCTTTGAGGGCTGGACAGTTCAGGAGGTGATGATGGTGATAATGATGAGTTCTGCTGACGACAAAACTCCTGAAACTCAGTGATGATCACTTTGCTGCTGTTGATGTTGCCATGCAGCAAAGGCAACAGCTGACCGAGTACTGTAGAAGACAAGAACATTAGAGATGTTAGAAGATATTATTGGCTCATCAATAAACATTTTAAAAGTAATTTGTTGCAAACTGTAAGTAACTTACAAATAATGTAATTGGTGTAAACCAAAGTAAGTAAAAGCAAGAACACACCACCATCCCATTGCCAAAATAGTTCAGCATACAAGTCTTTGAAATTTATAGGACCAAACCTCACATTTACCATCAACACTGATTGCACATCCACATAAACAAGGTAAATGTTCCCATTTAAGAGGAATGTCGGCTCAGTTTGTCCCTAATGAATCACCACATAAAGAAAAGCTA